AAGTTTGGTATAAAAAAATGAAAATTGATTTGTGATTAAAACAAAAATCCCACTGTTTTTGCCTTTTCATGTCTATTCATGTCTTTTTATTTCTTAAAAAACAGGACTTTTTAAAGTCCCGGTGTCTTCTACAGAGGACATGGCATAACATATGAATAAAATATCATTTTTCCAAAATTGTATTTTTCTAATTTTTTTCTTATGCTCTAAACAATGTAATGACATGACAAAATACTAAATTCACAAAACTGTTTTTTCCTGGTAGTCAGGAGGATATTTTAAGTTAGGTTTCTCATATTTTAAGCTCCTTATTTGGCCGAATCTGTGCTGGTTTGAATCAGCCGCCTCCAGTTTTCTCTTTGTTTTGCCTCCAGCTAGCGCTGTGACGTAATTGTGACGTCGGCCCAAGAAGGGTCTGTAACAAGTTCCTTCTCTTCCTCGATGCGTTCTCAGAAAATGGGCATCAGTTTCACTACGAGCAACAAAGAAGCGGCACACAAGAGCGACGTTCTGTTCCTGGCCGTCAAACCGCACATCATCCCGTTCGTTCTGGATGAAATCGGTCCAGATATCGAGGACCGTCATCTGATCGTCTCCTGCGCCGCTGGAGTCACTATCAGCTCCATTGAGAAGGTGCGAAACACGATTGCTTTACTAATGCACTGAGTGCTGTTGATGACGCTATTAACAACTCGTTTAGTTCTCTACACACCTGTGGGTTTAAAGGAATAGTTCACGCAAAAATAAACATTAGTTACTGCATCAGTGTCTCAGCAATGGATGCTCTGCAGTGAATGGGTGCCGTCAGAATGAGAGTCCAAACAGCTGATAAAAACATCACAATAATCCACAAGTAATCCACAGCACTCCAGTCCATCAGTTAACATCTGGAGAAGACAAAAGCTGAAACTAATCCAGCATTAAGACGTTTTTAACTAACACTGTAGAGGACATAATGTTTTAGTGATTTCTCTGAGACGTTACATGTCACAGTTGTAAGTCTGGAGTCCTGTACAGAGCACATTCTGGGCTTTTCAGAGATACTAAATGATTGGATGTTTCACCGTGAGCACTCCCTCTCCTTGCTCTTTAAAAATGGCTGACATTCATTTAGTGATCAAGTGTAACATTTTTTTCCTGGTAGTCAGGAGGATATTTTAAGTTAGGTTTCTCATATTTTAAGCTCCTTATTTGGCCGAATCTGTGCTGGTTTGAATCAGCCGCCTCCAGTTTTCTCTTTGTTTTGCCTCCAGCTAGCGCTGTGACGTAATTGTGACGTCGGCCCAAGAAGGGTCTGTAACAAGTTCCTTCTCTTCCTCGATGCGTTCTCAGAAAATGGGCATCAGTTTCACTACGAGCAACAAAGAAGCGGCACACAAGAGCGACGTTCTGTTCCTGGCCGTCAAACCGCACATCATCCCGTTCGTTCTGGATGAAATCGGTCCAGATATCGAGGACCGTCATCTGATCGTCTCCTGCGCCGCTGGAGTCACTATCAGCTCCATTGAGAAGGTGCGAAACACGATTGCTTTACTAATGCACTGAGTGCTGTTGATGACGCTATTAACAACTCGTTTAGTTCTCTACACACCTGTGGGTTTAAAGGAATAGTTCACGCAAAAATAAACATTAGTTACTGCATCAGTGTCCTCCCTCTCCTTGGTCTTTAAAAATGGCTGACATTAATTTAGTGATCAAGTGTAACACCCTTATGGAAATATGATTATATTTTGTAATTATCATTTAAATCTGACTATTTTTCAAATTGTTTGTCATAAATCAACATCTCAGGAAAATGTTATGGGGTTTCAAATCAAAATATGAGCTTCTGTTATGAAACAGGACGTTGATTTCATACACGTCCACTGTAGAGGACACCAGGACTCTTTACTAATGCACTGAGTGCTGTTGATGACGCTATTAACAACTCGTTTAGTTCTCTACACACCTGTGGGTTTAAAGGAATAGTTCACGCAAAAATAAACATTAGTTACTGCATCAGTGTCTCAGCAATGGATGCTCTGCAGTGAATGGGTGCCGTCAGAATGAGAGTCCAAACAGCTGATAAAAACATCACAATAATCCACAAGTAATCCACAGCACTCCAGTCCATCAGTTAACATCTGGAGAAGACAAAAGCTGAAACTAATCCAGCATTAAGACGTTTTTAACTAAAATACATTGAGTTCATAATCCATAATAACTCTTCCTCCAGTGATAAAGTGTTCTGGTGTGAATCAGGAGAGAAATCTGCACAGATCAAGCAGTGTTTAAACAGCTCTAAACACATATGTGGCTGGATTTTGATGTGAGAGACAACAGCAGATGCACTTTTTCACTGCAGGAAGAGTTATTATGGATTATGGACTTGTATAAAAGCGTCTTAATGCTGGATTTGTCTCAGCTTTTGTCTTCTCCAGATGTTAACTGATGGACTGGAGTGCTGTGGATTACTTGTGGATTATTGTGATGTTTTTATCAGACTCTCATTCTGACGGCACCCATTCACTGCAGAGCATCCATTGCTGAGACACTGATGCAGTGCTACATTTCTTGTAACCTGTCATGAACTCGCATAACACACATTCCATCTCATTAATTATGCTGAAGCTCGTCTCTCCCTCAGGTTATGCATTTTTCTCTTTTATCAAACACACGAGCGTTTCTTCCTCTGTATTGTTGGACGAAGCTCTGAATCCCGAAGGAAACTATTATATGCTGTGATTTTATATCAGCTTCTGTTCTCTGCACTCTCTGTTTTGATCGTCTCTCTTATTTTCTCCTTCTGACTAAATGCAGTTTCTTCATCACCATGATTGTTTTGCATGAGTTCTGAAGCCCAACAGCAGGGTTCTGGAAGTAGAAATCACATTCATTTGTTTCCATGGAGGTTTTTAACTGTAAAGAAGGAAACTGTCAAGACGGGCATGTCATGAGCTCTGAGGTTGTAAAGTGATGCTCTATTGTTCTCTAAAAGCAGCAAGTCTTCAGTTTGCATGTTTTTTTTTTGTTTTTTTTTGGACCAGTTCATTTACTGCACAAAAATAAGTACAGTCCTGTTTGTTTGAATTTTTATGTTTTTTGATATTTTATATTTATTTTTTAATAGTTTATTTTTGTATTTCATGTTTTCACTTTAAAATTAGTTAATTTTAGTTACTAATACATTTTAAATTAAAGGGTTAGTTCAACCAAAAATGAAAATTAGCCCATAAATTACTCACCCTCAAGTCATCCTGTACACAGAAGCAGCTCCGGGCGGATGACGTATGAGGTCAGCGTAAATGAATGCAGATGAATAATCACACGTGTGTGTGTCTGTGTGTGTGTGTCTGTGTGAGTGTGTGTGTGTCTGTGTCTGTCTGTCTGTGTGTGTGTCTAGAAATCTACTGTAACATTATAAATGCCTTTACTGGCACTTTTGATCAATTTAATGCATCCTTGATGAATAAAAGTATTAATTACTTTAAAAAAAACTTGAACAGTAGTGTATCACAGAAATATTGTGCCGCACAACTGTGTTCAACATTGATAATAATCAGAAATGTTTGTTGAGCAGCAAATCAGCATATTATTATGATTTCTGAAGATCATGTGACACTGAAGACTGGAGTAATGATGCTGAAAATACAGCTGCGCATCACAGAAATACATTACAGTTTAACAGATATTCACATAGAAAACAGTTATTTTAAATTCTAATAATATTTCACTATTTTTAACATATTTGTGATCAAATAAATGCAGCCTTGGTGAGCAGAAGAGACATAAACATGACATCTTAATTCCAAAGTTTTGACTGGTAGTTTAACATTTAATGGATGTATTTTAAAAATATTATTAATCCTAATAAGTATTCATCTTAAATGTCTTTTATGTTAAAAAGTGTATTATTATTTTTTTTTTCAATATGAAAGTAGCCCTGCTCCTGACATGGTTTTAAAAATAAACCAACAATAACTGTGTGTCTAGAGATGATGTAAAGCACATGTGTTTGTCAGGCGTTCATGGCTCTTGATGCTCTGGCTGACGGCGGGGTGAAGATGGGGTTGCCACGGCGACTGGCGGTCAGACTGGGAGCTCAAGCTTTATTGGTACGTCACGTCACATGACTCCGGCTCTCATGCAGTGCATGATGCAAACATTACACACATTCTTAAACGTCTTATTCTAACATGAAAGGTGTTTAAAGTTGTGTTTTGGGTCATTATGCTTTGGCACAGTATCTCAAACGAACTCAAACCGAAAGCACAATATGCTTCATCTCTTCATCAAGTCTGTCTCAAAGTGAAGCACACACTTGGTTCAGACGATCAGCTCGTGATCCGGTGTTTTCTGCGTCTCAGAACGACTCGTTCACACTGAATGAATGCAGTCCACTCCTTTATTTCACCTGCTGTGAGTTTAGCGCGCGTTTGGGAACGCAGCAGACACCAGTTATGCTTTATTTTCACGGCAGATGATGACAGCGTTTCACTAGATTTGTAGTGAGACGTGTTTTTGTAATCCTGTTTTCACTGAAGCTGGAGTTTTCCTTCTAAATAAAAGCTTAAAGTGCAGCATGAATCGCTGACAGCTAGCGGTTTAAATGCAGTCCAGATTCACAATATCTCTCTCAAGTGTAGAAATTAGGAAAGAAGTATTGTTATTTCTCTACTGTAGTGTAAAGCTAAAATAATATACCTATGAAACATTCATTTTCATTTATTTTACAGTGCAATTGTTTTACAACATATGGCTATTACTGTTATTATTATTATAATAATTAGTTTATCTTCCTAAAACAGCAGTGTGAGTGTAATTTAGACTGAGTCAATTCACTGACTTTTTCTGATTTAAGTTTTCTTAGTTAAGAACATGGGTCGCAGCTCTTCATTCTGAACTCTCTTAAGTGCATTAGATAGAATAATTAAACTTTAAAATGTAAATAAAAAAAATTTCTTTCCTAATTCTTTTGTCTTTTTTTGTGTGTGTTAAATATCGTATCGTGAGCTTCATATCGTGATATCGCATCGTGAAATTTTGATATGGTCACATCCCTATTTATTACAGAAGTGTATGCTCTCTTTGCGCACTGTGTCCATCACCAGTGCGGTGCATGTTTGTAGCGTGGTCTTTATTTTGTCTTAGGGAGCAGCTAAGATGCTTCTGGACTCGGAGCAGCACCCGGGACAGCTGAAGGACAACGTCTGCTCACCAGGTGGCGCTACCATCCACGCACTGCACTTTCTGGAGAGCGGAGGCTTCCGGAGTCTCCTCATCAACGCCGTGGAGGCCTCCTGCATCCGGACCAGGTGACCTCAGCTGCTTAACCCTAACCAGGGCAAACCATAAAGAGACATCACATTCATTAATTCATTGCTATTTTCCAACTTATTGGGACTCATGATTTTTTTTATATGTGAGCCTGGAGCACAAAAGCAGTGTTAAGTGGCTGGGGTATATTTGTAGCAATAGCCAACAATACATTGTATGGGTCAAAATTATAGATTTTTCTTTTATGCCAAAAATCATTAGGATATTAAGTAAAGATCATGTTCCATGAAGATATTTTGTAAATCTCCTACCGTAAATATATCAAAACTTAATGTTTGATTAGTAATATGCATTGCTAAGAACTTCATTTGGACAACTTTAAAGATGATTTTCTCAATATTTAGATTTTTTTGCACCCTCAGATTCCAGATTTTCAAATAGTTGTATCTCAGCCAAATATTGTCATATCCTAACAAACCATACAGCTATGGAAAGATTATTTATTGCATTATATGCATAAATCTCAATTTCAAAAAATTGACCCTTATGACTGGTTTTGTGCTCCAGGGTCACACATTTGTTTGTAATGTCTGTATCCCCCAGGATACATCGCTCCTTTGTTGGTATAAATTCACTGAAAACAGAACACTTGTTTATCAATGCTTGTTACAGCATGGTTGTAATTCCTGAATGCTTTGGAATACAGACCTAACATTGGTCTCATTTAAAATAAAAGAAAGTATAAAAAGTTATAGAAGTTTAGGTTTACACTAAAGATAATGTAGTGTAATATTTTTTTTATTTTATTTTATATAAAATATGTTGCACTCTAAAATTGCTACAAAATCAAAGTCACATGCCTAACCAAGTTATGTTCCAAATTTGAAGTTGATATCACAAAAATTGTGGTCCCTGTGAGATTTTGTTTGGGCGCTATACCAAAAATAACCACTGGGTTACACCCAAACTCTAGTGAATTATTCTGATGCAGTTTTCTGTCACAAATCAATCCATTTCTGTCACAGTATCACTTCTATTACAAAACGGTTACCAAATATGGAAACTTTACTGTCAGACCTTTCCAACGATATGCATTTTGTCAGGATTACAAAAAAGATTTGATTTTCTAAAACACAAGCCACAAAATCTCAGGGTCTATATATATGTATGTTTTATATCTTGATCTATTCCCCTAAAAGGGCGACGTATCCCCGAGATACAAACATTTAGAAACAGATTATAAAAAATGTAAGCATTCATAAAATTTCAATGTAAACCTAATAAGCTAATGCTGAACAACAGCTGATGGCTTTATGGATCATGCATGTTTGTTAATTAGCTTTTCAATTTGTGTTCAATTACTTTCATGCTGTTTACTGTCAGAAAACAATTGCAAATAATTTACCTTTAGGGGTACAGCAGTCTGTACAGCCTTAAAATTGTTTTTTTTTCCCCCACTTACATTTTTCTGGATTTAGTTTGGTTGAATTAATGGTTAAACCAATTCATTATTTAGTAATCAAAAGCATGTCTAATTAATTAAAATTATGAAACTTGCACAGTTTAACAACAATTAGTTAAATTTGAGCAACAATTCAATTTCTAGTGCCTTTTTTCCACTTATGTTTCTGGATTTAGTTTTAATGGTTAAATGAAATTTTTAGTAATCAAAAAAGCATCATGTCTAATGCATTGAAAATATGAAATGTATACAGTTTAACAACAGTTTATCAAATTTCTAAATCTCTGAAATCGGTTTTAGTTTTTACCAAATTCTGTTTATTTTTTATTTTTTATTTTATTAATTTTTTTAATTTTTTGGAATCCATTTGAATTGTTTAATTCAATTTTAACAATCGAAAAGCATGCCAAATAAATTGAATTTTGTAAAACTTTACCAGTTTTATAACTGATTACGCTTTTTACAATAATAGGGCCCTATGAAATGTTTTATTTTATAATAATAATAATAATTATTATTATTTGAGAAGTACATTCTTCTGTGCAATAGTAATATATTTCTGTCAAGTTATAATGTGTATTTTGGTAGGTTTTAGTAAAGGCCTTTGATTAAAAACTATGGTCAGATAAACACAGAAACTTAAAATGAAATGCAAAGTGAACATAAAGTGTGCATATTAGTACTTTAGAATAGTAACATGTTCTCTTAATTTAATGATATGCACCTTTTAGTGCTAAATAAGGTAGAAAGACGCCCCTTTGTCGGTTCTTACCCTGTTGTTAGTCACTCACCCCTCCTGTGTTCCTCCTCACAGGGAGCTACAGTTTCTGGCCGATCAGGAGAAGATCTCGCCCGCTGCCATCAAGAAGACGACGCTGGATAAAGTGCTGCAGCAACCGGGCGTCTCGTCCACGTCAGTCGCCACCAAGAGCAGAGTGAACCTGTTCAACAACAGGAGCGGCGTCAAGAAGTGAACACACACACACACACACACACACAGAGGACAATACAAGAACTGTGCCGTCCATCCACACACACACACATGCACATTCAGACTGAAATGCATTATGGGTCTGTGCTTGTGCTGACAGAGCGCCTCCTGTTACACTGGTACAGTATTACACCGGGAAACACAAGTCATAAAGAGTGTTATTAACATTATTATTTGCATCTTCATATCTATAAAGTCCATGACAATTCAAAGGGAATAATGTAAATGGTTTCCAAACATGTTTTTATGTAAATGGTCACTTTGTTCTAGGATTAAACTGGACACATGACACACATTTTGCATACATGAACTGTCAGACTTGTTGATTTTGTTTTGGTTAACAAGATATCAGAACACCTTATAGCAACGCCCTGGCAACAACTCAAAACCCCTATAGCAACGCCTTGGCAACAACTCAAAACTCCTATAGCAACGCCCTGGCAACAACTCAAAACCCCTATAGCAACGCCCTGGCAACAACTCACCACACCCTATAGCAACACCTTGGCAACAACTCAAAACACCCTATAGCAACGCACTGGCAACAACTCACCACACCCTATAGCAACGCCTTGGCAACAACTCAAAACCCCTATAGCAACGCCTTGGCAACAACGCAATACCCCCTATAGAAATGGCCTGGCAACAACTCAAAACACCTTATTGCAACGCCCTGGCAACCATATAGCAACAGCCTGACAAGAACTCAAAACCCCATAGCAACCCTATAGCACCTCCTTGGCAACAACTCAAAACACCATATAGAAATGTCCTGGCAACAATTCAAAACAGCCTTTAACAACACCTGGCAACAACTCAAATCACCCTATAGCAACACCCTAACAACACTCAAAACCCCATAGCAACCCTATAGCAACCCCCTGGCAACAACTCAAAACCCTCTAGCAACGCCCTGGCAACAACTTTTATTTTGCTTTTTTGCTCTTTAAATTGGATTTATTCTGTTGATTTCTTTTGAATACCTTACCTGTAAGTTCTTTCTGAAACATTTTATCAGGATGTATTGCAGACCTGGACACTTATATATTTGTTGTTTGTTTTTTAAAATTCTGGAGAAAATAATGAATGTCAAACAGCCAAAGTGTTTTGTAAGCCGATTATCAGGAGTGAAGCATCTTTCTGTTTGTCTGTTCTGTGTATTTCTATTGCAGAATATGAAAACTGCATAAACGGTGCTGACAGTTAAAGAAAAGCTGTTTTTGCTTACGCTTGTGGTTTTATTTCCGTCGGCTTCATTGATGAACTGTGTTCCTGATGAGCGAGAACATTGTTGCGTTTGTTCCAGACGTAATTAAAGAGGGAGCAAACTATAAATAATTAATGTTTCTTTAAGCAGATTAACTGAAGGTTTTTCTCTGAAAGCCATTACTCAACTATACAGGAGAACAAACACACGGCACGGCACCCTTCAGGTGCTGAACACTGAAACCACCAGCATTGCGCAAGTTTTCTCAGTAGTCGCTTGTTCCTTGTGCTTTACAGTAAACTGTTTCTCCATGTGATTGCGAAAGGATTTAATTCATTGAACTGTTCAGTTTTTAGTGAGTCTAGTTATAATACTGAAAGATAGCACTGATTAGATGCACCATTTTCACCTGCTGACCCATAAAACATGTGAAGAAATCCCACAGGTAAGTTTTAGAAATGCTAAAAACAGACACCTTAGCAACTGCATGGCAATGTTTTAAAATGTAACTCTTGATACCCTAGCAACCCTATAGCAATGCACTGGCAACAACTTAACAACATAGCAACATCCTGGTACCAACACAAACACCCTATAGCTTTCAGTCACGTGACCGGCTCGAAGACCTGGAGGGCAAAACATCCATAGATCTGCAGGACAAGCCTGTCAATTTTCCATTTGTTTCACAGCCGCAAATATTTAGATCACCTCTCAAAAGAATGAAACAAAGGTATGTGAACAAAATGCAAGTTTTGGCCATTTGCAATCCATATTAAGCACCCGCGGCAATATTTCAATCATTAAACAGTGCGACAAAACGTAAAAACACTTAAAGTGCCTTAATATATTTAAAACAGTAATATTCTCTATATTATATGCATAGTTTACATAGGCAAGCAGATGAGGCCGGAATATGAACGCAATCCGCTTAATGGTTCAGTGTTTTCCTTTTAATGGTTTTCTATGGGAAACCATTTAACGTGAAACTTTGCACATTGCGTTTATATTCTGGCTTCATCTGCTTGCCTGTACAAAATATACATAATCAATAAGGTGTTTATTGAATTTCGCCTTTTAATATCTGCGTTTTACTACATTACTACTTAATGCAAACTGCGTAAAAATAACTGGTGGTCAGTGGAGCAAAGCTTCGTTTTGCCCTCCAGGTGGGCGTTCCTATAAGGGTGTGAAGTCACATGAAAACTATCAATAGCAACGACCTAACAACAACTCAAAACACCCTATAGCAACACCCCTGACAAGAACTCTGAAAACCCCAGAGCAATGCCCTGGCAACAACTCAAAACACTATAGCAATGCCTTGGCAACAAATCAAAACACCCTAGCAACACCCTGGCAACAACTCAAAACACTGTATAGCAACGCCCTGGCAACAATTCAAAACACCCTAGCAATGCTCTGACAACAACTCAAAACACCCTATAGCAACACCCTGGCAACAACTCAAAATACCCTAGCAACACCCCTGACAACAACTCGGAAAACCCCATAGCAATGCCCTGGCAACAACTCAAAACACTATAGCAATGCCTTGGCAACAAATCAAAACACCCTAGCAACACCCTGGCAACAACTCGAAACACCCTATAGCAACACCCTGGCAACAACTCGGAAAACCCCATAGCAATGCCCTGGCAACAACTCAAAACACTATAGCAATGCCATGGCAACAAATCAAAACACCCTAGCAATGCCCTGGTAACAACTCAAAATACCCTAATAACACCCTGGCAACAACTCAAAACACCCTAACAACGCCCTGGCAACAACTCAAAACTAGCATTGCCCTGGCAACAACTTAAAACACAGTATAGCAACACCCTGGCAACAACTCAAAACACCCTACAGCAACGCTATGGTAAAAACTCAAAATACCCTAGCAACACCCTGGCAACATCTCAAAACACTATAGCAATGCCTTGGCAACAAATCAAAACCCCATAGCAACGCCCTGGCAACAACGTGTAGCAACACCCTGGCAACAACTCAAAACACCCTATAGCAACGCCCTGGTAAAAACTCAAAATACCCTAGCAACACCCTGGCAACAACTCAAAACACCGTCGTAATGCCCTGGCAACAACACAAAACACTGTATAGCAATGCCCTAGCAACAACTCAAAACACCATAGCAACACCCTGGCAACAACTCAGAAAACCCCATAGCAATGCCTTGGCAACAACTCAAAACACCATAGCAACGCCCTGGCAACAAATCAAAACCCCATAGCAACGCCCTGGCAACAACGTGTAGCAACACCCTGGCAACAACTCAAAACACCCTATAGCAACGCCCTGGTAAAAACTCAAAATACCCTAGCAACACCCTGGCAACAACTCAAAACACCGTCGTAATGCCCTGGCAACAACACAAAACACTGTATAGCAATGCCCTAGCAACAACTCAAAACACCCTAGCAACGCCCTGGCAACAACTCAAAACACCCTAGCAATGCTCTGGTAACAACGCAAAACAGCAACACCCCTGACAACAACTCAGAAAACCCCATAGCAATGCCTTGGCAACAACTCAAAACACCATAGCAACGCCCTGGCAACAACTCAAAACACCGTTTAGCAATGCCTTAGCAACAATTCAAAACACCCTAGCAACGCTCTTGACAAGCATGCACAACAATTTAATATCAGTGCAGTGGTGAGTTTAGGTAAGGCAAGAATTTTTTTTAGCATATTTCATACACAAGTGCTTCATGTTAAAAATATGCATAAGAAATACAAAAAACATTAAAAAGAAAAAATAGAGCATTATTAAAATGTATTAAAAGTCAGAGTCCGCAGAGACGCATGCTTTTCTTGCATACAGCTGTAGTTGTGTGAATGTTGTGCATGCAGTTCTGGTGAATTCTGGACCTGCAGCTCTGAGTCAGTCGGGCTGATGTGAGGAACGCTGGAGGCTCGGGCTATTTCTAGAGCTGCATTGTGTAGATGTTTCTCTGCTCAGCTGGCATGGAGATGATTGCGTGTCACTCTGAAGACACACCAGTTTTAGAAGCATCAGGGTCACTTCTGAAGCTGCTCTGACCTACGGGTCAAAGGTCATGCAGGGGAGACACAAACTTGGGGAACCAGCAGAGCAAACACGTGAAGATCTGCCTGAACAATATTGTAGAATCACAGATAACAGAAATGCCTTCTAAGAGTGTTTTGCTAATGTTCCCATTAAGTTATATCTGAATGTTACTTGAACATTTAAAATGTTTTTAAAAATGTTTTTCTTAGTTATGCAACTGTTAAAGAAACATTCCATTGTGTATAACTTTGCAAACATTAAGGGAACGTTATTTATGAATGTTCTTTGAATGTGTATTTAAAATTTTTTAAATGTATCATTTTGCAAACGCAAATGTTACTTTTGAGTGTTTTCTAATTGTTCTAAAACCGGTGATAACATTTAAAAACATTAGACGAACATCCAACTAAAACATTTCAGGAAAAAAACATTCCATGAATGATGTATAAATGATGCTTTTGTGCTAAAGTTTTGAAAACATTATTAAAGACCAGATAACAAACATTCCATTGATGTCACTGTAAGAACGTTTGTTAAAGGGATAGTTCACCCAAAAATTAATAACAGAATTTTCGTTTTTGGGTGAACTATCCCTCTAACACAACTTTGAGAGAACTTTCCCAGGACGCTGTAAGAATGTTTAGCCAAGATAATGGCGTTTGTGATGGCAGGTTTAAACACCTTCTCCATGTGATCCTGATGGCTTTATTCTGTATTGCAGCCATCAAATGACACAAATGAAAGCATCGACATTTAGAAAGATGAGAAGACATCTTCAAGTTGACGTCCTCATGAAAGCCTTCCGCTCTTTATTTCCTCTAAGTCTATTAAAGTTGAAGTGTCTGAGTCTGACCGGAGCAGATTCCTGATACTTCCTTCAATTACAACACAGGCATTTTCATTTTTACAATGTTTCAGAGTTCGAGTTGATTTCTGTTCCTCAGTGTGTCTCTTCAGGACGATGTCTTCACAGGCTGGGACAGCAGGATTAGTTCCAGAGTTGCTCTTGTGTTTGTGTTTCTGACGGCCGCTGTTTATTTGTGTCTGATTGGAAGTCGAGGAGGCGCTAAAGAGTTCCATAATCCTCCTTTTATTCCAGAGGTTCTTCCTCGGTCGGCCCACCGCTCTCAAACGCTGATAAGTCACACGAATCTTACGCTCCTGTTATTCCTCTGGAAACACGCAGGACGCCGCTCATCATTTTCTGATGATATTCCACCAACACAATCAGCCGTTTTCACCGTTCTCAAACAAGTTTCTTCAAAAGAGCTTTTGCCCATTGATGAACCGTTTTTTACTGCTTCAGATTAGTTTGAGTTTTTGTAGTTTTAACGGGATTGTTCATCTGAAAGTAACAATAATGACATGCATCGTGGTCTGTTCCTAATTTAAACTACTTTTATGTTGCTATTCTGTCTTTTGAGATTGACAGCCCGTCTGCTTTTGTTGATCAGAAAATTACAGTTTGTATGAAATATAGGTTTTAAAACGAATATTTAGTATAAAGCTAACCCCAAAGAATGTGAGAATGTTGTGCTACTATGTTATTTTTGTACGTTCAGTTTTTAAAATTTTTATTTATTTACTTTATTTTTTGTGGTTATGCAAACCTTAAGGAAACATTCCATTTTATCATTTTGCATTTTGCTTTTATCATTATGGGAATTATATTTTTGAATGTTCTCTGAACTTCGCAACATTTAAAAAACATTAGACAAACATCCTACTACTCCAGCTAACAAAAATGTTTTAAGAACGTTGTGCTAATGTTCCCATTAAGTTATAGAAACATTATTTCTGAATGTTTTCAAAATGTATCGATTTTTAAATGTTTCAATTTTTTTTGTGCTTATGCGAAATGTTAAAGGAACGTTCCATTTTAGCATTTTGCTGACATTATCGAAACGTTACTTTTTGAATGTTCTCTTATTCTGAAACAAGTAGTAACATTAAAAAAATTCTAGAAGAATGTCCAACTAAAATTTTCTAGAAAAACTATTCCATGAACCATTTATAAAGAAAGTTTTTGATAACATTCTTAAGTTACAGAAACATTACTTCTGAATGTTATTTGAG